GGGGAGCCTTTTCTTCCTCTCTTTCCCCCCATATATGTGTATGGTGGTAGTAGTAGCTGTGGTTGTGAACCATCTTACATTAGGCTACAACCTGATATTGGCCCTGACCCACCAGTTGAAGACCAGTGCTCTAGAGAAGGTTTTCAGGGATTTTATGGGGCTGCAGAGGAGGGTAGAGGAGAGCTACACAAAGACCTGTTGTGCTGGCTTCCTTCCACTTAAACACAATATTTGATACAACCCACCATCTTGCAAATTTTACAGTTCTGAAACTTGTTTGAAACAAATGCCACCCATTTCATTATATAAGAATTCCATGGATGTCAGGATCACAGCTACAGAGATGCAAATTGAAAACATACTGGAAATGTAGTAACCTACGAATCTATTTAGTAAATATGGTAACAACATCCATAAATATTAGCCAAATTTTGCATTCTGACCACCCTGCTTCTGGTAGTCTATAACGATTATTACCACTACGGAATAATTTCCTGAGGCATCTATTAATCTTTAACACCTTATAACAACACCTATTAGTCATTAACTTTTAAAGAAACAATTTAAATACAGAGTGTGCAGCCGAATCTCCTATTCTTTGGCATATTTCCCTTCTATGGGATCTGTTTGATAAGTCAATGGGTTTAATTTTTCTTCACATATTAAAACCTTCAGATATTGCAGATATTGTTTTCATGTCTGGAAGGCAGAAACAGAATCCAAGGAAAACAAACTGGATTTGTTTTTTAACGTCAACTCTCCTTCATTAATTCTCTCTATGTAGTCACAGTTGTTTAGCACTGTAACCACAGTGACCAAATATCTATGATGTAGCTTTTATTATTGAAGCTGGTTTTAGGGAAATCCTGTACACAGTTAAGTCACTGTTCGCTCCATTTATTTTAATGGGTCTACTCAGTCCATAAACAACAGTCCACTACGCCCAGGAAAACCGCACAGCGTGGACCCTACTTCAGCCCACACAGAAGATATATTAAGGCTGAATTCCCGTACCAACCCTTCCTGGGAGAGAGGCCTATTCAAAGTGTGTAGAATTGCACTGTATGCAGATTTATGAAATAACACAGACACCATTTTGCGAACACCAATTGACAAAACAGTGATTGATATCCAATGTTAGATATAGAGTGAACCCACTGAAAGCAATGGACTTAAGGCCATGCTCACTGCTTTGGAATATAAGTAACCGCATTTGCCAACTCACAAGCAGCCCCATTGAGTCTAATACAGCTTCCTCCTAAGTCAGTGGGGAGAGGTTGCAGCCTAAATTACTTATGAGAGCCGATTGCCACCTCTCTCTCAAGCATCTAATACCAGATTGAGGAAAGGCAAGCATCTCTTGAGGAGTTGTGGGATTAAGCCAGGCTTCCTCAACCTCGGCCCTCCAGATGTTTTGAGACTACATTTCCCATCATCCCTGACCACTGGTCCTGCTAGCTAGGGATCATGGAAGTTGTAGGCCAAAAACATCTGGAGGGCCAAGGTCGAGGAAGCCTGGATTAAGCAGAACTAGTTGGGCTGGCTATGCAATGTTTCCCTAAATCATGATGGGATAGCATTGGCTCCATGTGTAGTCCCACCCAGATTTTTAATTGATTGTTGCAGATGAACCTATAGGTGCAAATACACCTACTTAGATGATATAGTCCAATACGTAAGGGCTGCAATCGAAAAGAGATCTCAGGAGGCAAATCCTGCATAGACACAAGGAGACATATTTGGGCCTCCTTCCAAATAAACACGCTTGGGCTTGTGCTGCTGATCAAACTCAAGCATCTGCAACTTAGCTTGGTGGTGTTGCTTCTGCTTCAGTTTCTGTGGCTTCTTGTGTGACAATTTTGCAAGGCTCCTACTTTCTCTCTTTGAGCCCTAGGACAGTAGTGAACAAAGGAGTACAAGAGTCAAAAGGTTCCTACTCAGAGGCAGCCAGCACATCAGGAGGAAGGGGGTTCTGCCTTGTCTCCTGTGGTGGTGCCCTGACTCTGGAATGCCTCCCCAAAGAGAGATACCTGGTGACAAAATTTCAATCTTGCAGCCCCTGGCTGAAGACCTCCCTATTTGCCTAATGGTTTTAGGTGACCTGTTAGTTGGATTTTGCCCTGCCACTGAACTTTTGCATGTTCAGTTTGCCTCATATGCGTTTGCTGTATAGTCATAGCTAGATTGGTTGGGATTTTTTTTGTTTTTTGTTTTTAAAACAATATTTTTCTTATAAACCGGTTGAATAGTTTTACTCTCACCTTTGTACGCTGCCTTAGAACCCTCTCTTTAAAGGAGTGCCTAAGAACAATTTAGTGGGTGCTTCCAGATGGGTGTTCCTTTTGGAACCAGATCTCCTAATGCATGAAAGTTTTTTTTGCAGCAGCCACACAATGTCAGCATCAAAATACCAACCCAACACAATCCGGACTTACCCTTCCTCTGGAAAATGAGGTGGCCCTGGTCTCAGCTGACCAGTTTGTAAATTAAGTCCCTGCCTAGAAACATGCTAAATAAATAGAACAGCTTAATCCTTGATATACTAGCTATTCAGTTACAGAAAGCTTTTGACTTGATTAGAAGACAGCAGTCTGAGGTGCCAGGAGGATCACACTTGCTATCTTAAGAGGGTTTCCGCTGAAACCACCCTTGGCTCAGAACCAGGCCTGTGCAGGCAGGCGGGGGAAGCTGGGTACAATTGCCCTGGGCTTTGGAGGACTAAGCTGGCCAGGGGAGGGCAGGCCAGGGGCATGCTGGACTTACACTGCCATGCCAGGCCTCAGAGAAGCTCTGCATGGGCCTGCTGAGAACTACAGCAACACTAGACCCAGCAGGCATCCTTGACTGCAGAATGCCACCTGTGTGTAGTGTAGTGGTTAGAGTGTCAGATTAGCACCTGGGAGACCAGGGTTCAAATCACCACGGGACAGGAAGTTCACTAAGCCACCATGGGCCACTCACTGCCTCTCAGTCTACCCTACCTCACAGGGTTGTGGGGAGAAAATGAGGCAGAGAACCATGTGTGCCACCTTGAGGTCCTTGGAGAAAAAAGGTGGAGTGTGTGTGTGTAAAGACACACACACACACACACACACACACACACACGGGCCACTTCTCAGCCTCTCTGGGGTCTAGGAATCTAAAACGCCAAGCCTCCAGACACATGAAACAAAAAATAGCTGAGGGAATGTGCAAAGTGTACACCCCCCCCCTTAACACAGCCCCTTTCACATGCACCCAGCTTTCTGAGTAAGGAGCGTGTCTTCGTCCCTGACGCAACTCAAAGCAGAGCCCTCCTTCGCCCCAGTCTATGTTCCCGTCGGAGAATGCCTCGCCCCGATCTTTCGCATCTTTCCTTTCGGGATCTCTCTCCCCTCCCTCCCGGGAGTCCCGTCTAGCTCTACCTTGAGCTCCGCGGCGCTTTGTTTGTGCACCAGGCGCCCTCTTGCGGCAGCAGCCGCCCTCTCCAGGCTTGGCCGCCGCGAAGTCGCAGGCGGGATGGGAAAGAAAAGTTTGGGAAAGTTTGGAAGTTGCTGCGAAGTTGTTTCTTTTTTCCCCCTTTTCTCCCTTCTTTTTGGCCTCCTGGCTTTTCCTCGCCGTGTTTGAAAACTGACATGATGACATCCACGGCAGTGCCCGCCTTCCTGTGCCTGTTCAAATAGCATTCCCTCCGTCTCTCGCCATCTCAAACCCGGGATCGGCACCACCTCCGCCCCCCCCTCTCGCAGACAAACCTTGACTCTCCCACCTCCTTCCTTCTGAAGGCGGAGAGGGGGGGCGGGTAGAGACCCAAGCAACTCCTGGGCAGCGCAGAAAGTTTACCGCGCCGAAGAGTCCCATTGCCCCCCAAGCATGACAGAGGCTCAGGATCAACGCCGGGACCCCCAGGATCGCCCTTGTGGGGCCATTTAAGCCCCACTTCTCTTTTTGCAAGCTTTCTTCAGCTGCTCCCTCTTCCCTTTATTATTATTATTATTATTATTTTATTTTTGCACTTGTCAGATGCGGACGGGACCGTGGCCGGGACCGAAGCACGCGAAGCGAGACCGGGCGGAGAGTTCCCTCTGAAGGCAGCCGGCAAGGCGGGTCCCCCGGGAGGAGCAGGATGCAGCCCCACCTGGCGCTGATGTGCTTGGCTGTCGTCGGGGGGGTGCTGCCGGCGTCGGCGCGCCCGGAGCCCAGGAGGCGCCAGCAGATGGACCCAGGGCGCTGCGAGCTGCCCCGATCGGTGAGCTGGAGGGGAAGGGAAGGAGGAGGCCCGGGGGTCGGGGTGGGGGGGTCAGTGATTGCCGGTGCTTAAGGGGGGGGATCTGGCCCAGAGGCAGCGCCACATGCCACCGTCAACTTTGGGACTCTCCTTCTACTGCGATGGTCCCCAGCGACGACCCATAGTGCCGGTGCCCCTTTCCAAAGTTTCTGAAGATAACACCCCACCCCCCCGCAACATCCGCACTACACTAAGGCGCGGGCCAATTACGCGGGTCAGTTCCTGCCTTTCCTGGCTGCTCCTGGGTGTCCTAGCGAGGAACCCCTCTGCAAGTGGAGAGGGAGCGAGATAGATGGATATGGCTCCTACTAGGGAGCGCCGATCGTCCGCACCCCAGGGAGGCAGAGGTTGTGCCCCTCGACCCCTGAGGAAGTGGGCTGGGATCGAGCGAGCAGGTTTGGGGAAAGGAAGCGATGCCCTTCTTTCCTTCTGCGGGTTGCAAAGCCCCTAGCACACTGCTGGCGTGAAACAGGAGTAGTTGGACTACTACCGGTCACGACACTTTGCCTTCCCGTCCCTGGGTACCACTTGGCAAGAAATTTCTCTCGCCCTTCTGCTCCTCCTCTACGGAGGTGCCCGCAAAACAATCTAGATTTCTCACATAACTTGCAAAATAGTTAATGCCAGATAAAGGACTGGAGCCCTGTTGGAAATCTTATTCCAAGAGTTCAAAAAACTTTGGCAAATTGGTTGAGATTTGCCAGGTAACCCTTTCTCTCTTCCCGTGGGTGGCAAGCTTGTCAACTTCCCGATTGCCACAATTTCATATTTCGACAGTCTCACAGATCCTTTAGATCTCCGGAGGGATATTGATTTCCTGCAAGATCCTGTTAGTTATGTTGAAATCTTCAATTTTCTGCACTGAATAGGCTAGGGCTATGGGTTGTATTCAACTTTCATAGACAATGTAATGAGGTTTTTGTTTGTTTGTTTGTTTTTTAAAAATGCTGCTTGTAAGTTATGGTTCATAGGAACAATTCAAAAGAGCAGTCAATGGGGGATTGTGTAGGAGAATTCCCCTGCAGAGTGATCCATATTTGTCTAGAAACAAATTTGCTCCAAGCTGAAACTTTACATTGTATAGCACAGTGGGTTTCTGTAAATATCAAATGAAGGAATAAATGACCAGAAGCTCTAACCCTGGGTTGGATTTCTGCCTAGATAGTTAAATGTGTAAAGATTCTTTGATCCAGTTTGCGATATGAGTGTTTATGGGTGTGTATGGGTATGTATCTTTTCAAAATCTCTCTCTCTCTCTCTCTCTCTCTCTCTCTCTCTCTCTCATTCACACACACACACACACACACACAACACACGATGTAATGCTTGTATTCATTCTCACATGAATAAGATATTTCTGTGATTTTATACAATAATCCCCACTTCATAAAGTTTTTGTTTTTTAAAAGGTTTTTTTTTTAAAAAAGATGCTTAGTTTTATTTATATCACTTAATTGAATTTGAATACCACTTAATTGTAAATAAAAGACTCCAGTTTTATTGGTATAATGATCTACTCAGTTTTACCACTCTTTTAATCACAAAGGAACGTTAACTGGTTGATAAGGCATAACTAATCAGACAACTTTGAGCCTTCATCCTATATTTTATCTTTCTTTCCTGAATGCATGTTTTTTCTACTTGTCTGCTCACATGTTTAATTGTAGACTATGTGAGATTATGGATGCAATCCAGGATCCACTTAACCCGGAGAAGGTCATGCTGGGATAGTTTTACTGGTTTCAGTAGAATAACCGCAGCGTCGATGAACTCTGATTTGCAGTCATGCTTGACTTTCCATACACATACCATATCCACAGGCCTACACATTGCACATTGCTGCTTCAGTCCTACCAGTCTTATAGTGATTCCAATAGATAGCTTGCTTTCATGCCAGCATGGTTAGGGCTAGGATATTGTGTACAATGGCAGCCCTCAAAACATTTTGCAAAGTTATGCCATAGGAAATGATTTCAACCACAACGCTGATGGACAGTTCCTGTTTGCACCATCCCCCACCAACTGGTCCTGAATATACTTTTCTCAGCGCTTTACACCATGGGTAGGCAAACTAAGGCCCGGGGCTGGATCCAGCCCAATCGCCTTCTCAATCCGGCCTGCGGATGGTCTGGGAATCAGCGTGTTTTTACATGAATAAAATGTGTCCTTTTATTTAAAATGCATCTCTGGGTTATTTGTGGGGCATAAGAATTCATTCATTCCCCCCTCCAAAAAATATATATATAGTCTGGCCCCCCACAAGGTCTGAGGTATAGTGGACCGGCCCCTTGCTGAAAAGGTTTGCTGACCCCTGCTTTACACCAAACTGACTCTTGCCTTCTTTTACATTCTCTTTTCCCTAGCAAAGAGACTTGAACTCTTTCCTCTGGACTATCCGGAGGGACCCTCCTGCCTATCTCTTTGGAACAATCCATGTGCCTTACACACGCGTGTGGGACTTTGTCCCTGAGAACTCCAAGTCTGCTTTCCAAGCCAGTTCCAGTGTGTACTTTGAGCTGGACCTCACTGACCCCTACACCATTTCGGGCCTGGCCAGCTGTCAGCTGCTACCCCACGGGGAGAACTTGCAAGACGTGCTCCCCCGGGATCTTTACCACCGCCTCAAGCGCCACCTTGAGTACGTCAAATTGATGCTCCCTCACTGGATGACGCCAGACCAACGGGGGAAAGGTCTTTATGCCGATTACCTCTTCAATGCTATTGCTGGGAACTGGGAGCGCAAAAGGCCCGTCTGGGTGATGCTGATGGTCAACTCCCTCACGGAGACAGATATCCGTTCCCGGGGAGTGCCCGTATTGGACCTCTACCTGGCTCAGGAGGCGGAGAGGATGAAGAAAAGGACAGGAGCTGTGGAGAGGGTGGAAGAGCAATGCCATCCACTGAATGGGCTGAACTTCTCCCAGGTAAGGAGATGCAGGCCACACACACTTTCAAGAAGTCAAGTCTTAAGATAACCTTCTTCCTTAGAAAAATGACCTGTGTTAGGTTGGGCCAGGCAGAATCTTGAGACTGATATGAAAAAGAGGCTAGTATGTCTCATATTTAGTTTCTACTCATTACCTAGATTATTCTATGAGAACATGGGATGTTCATTCTTTCCTACTGGTTGTGTCTTGTTCTCAGCTACACACTGCATATGAACCTAGGAGTTCGTGGGCAAGGAAATGTGGTGTGTGTGTGTGTTTTTCTGATTGAGTGGCAAAATTCGTTTGAAAGCTTAGGGTGCTGTTCTTTCAGGGGGAACATAATATGTGTGCATACGCAGGCCCAGCTGTTGAGTATGCTTGAGAAACATAATGCAGAGCAATGATGGAAGAGACATTGCCAACGCAGTGGTGCCTCAGTTTCTCTCTGTCACACACACATTGAACATGATACCAGGCTTTAAAACATGATCATGTCCTAAAGGCAGAAGATAAGCCATTAGGTATATTCAACGCAAGCAAATGTCTGATGGTGTTAGACTTTTTGTAACAAGGATGGTTGTGTCTTGCATAGAAAAATATACATGAAACCATGTCTCTCTACATGTTGAATGCATACTGTGGATAACAGACATAGTATGAGAGCACATGATGCTTCCACATTTCTGACCAGGTTGAGCTCTGGTCAGTATCTGAATGGGAGGCTACCTGAGGTTTGCCTAGGGAGGAGTGCATGTCTGCTGGCTTGAATTCCACCTTGAAGGAAGTACTGCGATTTAAATAAATAAATAAATAAATAAATAAATAAGATACCTTCTCCAATATGCGCACCATTTTGTGTACTCTTTCCTTTATATATTTCACCTGACTTACTTAGATCAGGAAGTGAATTGCTTCCCAACCTGTTACACATAAAGCATAGCAGTTTGTTGATCCTGCAGCATTTTCTAGGAATCTCATCACTTCCTGTTTTAAAGAGCTAAAGGAAAGAAGGAAGGAAAGTTCCTGGATGTGTTTACTGTTTTTATAGCTGTTTGTATATAGAGAGTAAAGAAGTGGCTTATGTTGTTATGAGGAGAGTTAACTTTAAATTTGTTGTGAAAGACAATGTGTTTATTTAAAAACTCTCTTCTGAAAAACTTTTGTCTCTCCATTTCTGAGGGTAGATCTCGTCTTTGTTGACAGATCTCAATATAAGTCCACACTATATATTATTTAGGTTTAAGGGATTCACCAGCATCTATTCTAAATTTAGCGTTTTTTTCTGCAATTGTTTGTGTTAAATCCAAAAGTCTTGGTTACCTGGCTTGTGTCTGTTTTTTTTTTAAAATCACATTTAAAATCAGAGATGTCCTCTATTTACAACAATACCCTCAGCACTGGACACTCTTTGCTTTCATAATCTATGTATCTTTCTTGATAATGGGTTTCAGATGTTTTTCTGAAGAAAAAATTCTCTGCACTATTTTGGACAGAGTGGCTGTTTTCCATTAACAATCTCCAAAATATCACCTGTGAAAATATATAATTAGTTGATAGGTGTGCCAAAAATAGAAGGCTGGGTTGGAATAAAATGGGAAAAACATGCTAGCTGACACATGATTTACTAGTGCAGTGTATCCTGTTGGTGATGTTGGGCTTGTTGGACAAATAACGTCAGTCCTTCTATGACCCCAGCAGAAATGTACACAACTCTGGGGAGAAAAGCATCAGGGACTTTTCTTGGCAATTTTTACAACTGTATGACATTCATTACATAACTCTCCAGAAGTTCCTTTTCAAATGAGATACTTATTTCAAGGCAGAACAAAAAGAGCAGAAGTGCTGTTTCTCCTCCCTTTGGGGAATTTCTCTTATTTCTGTGGCTGTCAACTAATTAAACATTTTAGCCATCCAATCCAATATTTTACTCTGTTGGCAAATATATTATTAAGACTGGTGTAATAATGGGATTGACTAGATGCATGAACTATTATCTTATTCCAGGGTTGCCAGCACACAAGTTAGTGTGGATGTTTAAAATGAGGTTGCCATTCGATTTAATTTCTTATTTAATATTTTCTAATCATGATACAAGTTATGTTTCAGGGATATTAAGCAGTTGCAAAATACTGTAAAGTTGAGCATCCTTTAACAAGGCATTAGTTTCAATTCAGGTCAAATCTAAACCCACTTTAAAAATAGACAAACCCAATTACTCAGTCACAATGAACAAACTCATCAACATTTTTGATCCTATTTATTTTTAAAGTGAACTGGATGTAAATCTTTTCAATTTTATTCATTTGAAAATTGAACAAGATACTTTTGACCCAGCTTTCTCCAAAGAGCTGTCAAGTTTTCGACATCAAGTACACCCTACTTGAAACCAAGTTCAGAATAATGAACCAGAAACATAAGGTACCTCTGATGACACTGGGGCTCTATTAGGTTAAATAGTACTCTGATAAAAATGGATAGTTGGAAAGTTTTCAAATGTGAATTATATTATACATTTTTGTAGATGGGAGTTATTATTTTCATTAAAAGAAGAACCTCTTGGACTGGGACCTAGTAATATTGATTTATTTTTTGGTCCCTGATTTTAACTCTACCAGCAATCACTGCTACTGTTTTAGTCATCTTTTTAGCATAATGGAGATGATGATGATGATGAAGGAGGAGGAGGAGGAGGAGAGATAATCATATATTCAAGAAGGGCTTTGGCTTCTGAACAAAACTTGCTTGTTCAGAACATGCTGCTTAGTAAGGAAAGCTGAATAATCTCTGCCATTCAAGAAGAGTTTTAAAATCTCTTTCTCAAATGTGAAGTATTTGCTGCTGAAGTGTTACAATAGACATCACTACGCCCCCAGGGCAGCCACTGGCCTGTAGAACATGCTTTCATTTTGTTGGTGCAGGTCCTTGTGGAATAAGTGGAAGCAGTCAAGAGAGTACTGTGTGACCTCAAATTTGAAAAGTCCCATTTAAAATTCCCCCTGATTGGGAAAGCAACGTATTCCAAAGTAACATGGGAGGAAAGAGAGCACAACTCGGCTTGCTGATCCTTTTCTGTCCTTTTTGGTGCTGTCTAAGAACTGGCTGCACTTGGCACCTGGCAGATTGCTCAAAGGGAGCAATTTGTAATGTTATCATTCCGTCTAGCAATCCCACTGCGTGGTGTATTATGGCCTTAATTGAAAGGAGTGGATTACGATGAACTAGATTTCCTCTCTTAATTCTAAATCTTGGATCTTCTCCTGAGAAACATATAATTAGTGGTATTAATGATGGAAATTAGAAAATGACCAGAGTTTGTATTCCAGTGGTATGTCTAGGCCGATGTGAACATCTGTGATCGTTTATAGCCCTGAATCTGTTATGGGCATCAGTTGAGTTTGTTTTAACCTGCTTTCAGCATTACTTTAATTGTAATATATAATCTGAAAAATTTGGAAACAGAGTCCTAGAAAGCCTGCTGTACTGAAACATCCTTAAGCATTTGTTTTCAATCTATCCAATTTTCAAACACTTACTGAGGGAAAATAAGTGGTTTGCTTCTCCTCCAGCCAGTCCCTCCCCTTCTCGAAGTGGTTAGCTTCTTTCTTTTTTACCCTTTTCTCAAGTTTCATGCTACTGGAAATTTAAATAGGATGAATGCATTGTGTCTGCTTAGTTGAAGTTGGCTTCTATTGGTTTCTGAAACAAAGTGAAGATGCTTTAAGGACAGGGAAGAAGATCCCATCTTTGGAGCATCCACCACTACTTAAAATACGATGGAGATTTTAGCGGCATTTGTATCCCTGAAGCAGACTTCTATTGTATCATACTTAATTATGCAAATTTGTGTATCCCAACCCAGTTTCCATGCCTGTGTGCTCTTGCCCAACTCCTGGTTCATTCCAATTTCTATAGTGTCTTAGAATAGTGCTTACTGCGAGAAGTAAGGTTACAGGGAACCAGGCAGAGGGCTTTCTTGGCAGTGGTGCCCGCCCTGTGGAACACCCTCCCACCAGATATCAAAGAGAAAAACAACTACAGTGGTACCTCGCAAGACGAATGCCTCGCAAGACGGAAAACTCGCAAAACGAAAGGGTTTTTGGTTTTTTGAGTTGCTTCGCAAGACGATTTTCCCTATGGGCTTGCTTCGCAAGACGGAAACATCTTGCAAGTTTGTTTCCTTTTCTTAAAACCGTTAATATAGTTGTGACTTGACTTCGAGGAGCAACTCATAGCACACAGTGTGGTAGCCTTTTTTGAGGTTTTTGAAGACTTTGGTGATTTTTGAAGCTTTTCCAAAACTTTTCCAACACCGTGCTTCACAAGACTAAAAAAACCGCAAGACGAAAAAACTTGCGGAACGAATTAATTTCATCTTGCGAGGCACCACTGTACCAGACTTTTAGAAGACATCTGAAGGCAGCCCAGTTTAGGGAAGGTTTTTAATGTTAGATCTTTTATTGTGTTTTTAATATCCTGTTGGAAGCTGCCCAGAGTGGCTGGGGAGGCCTGGCCAGATGGGTGGGGTATAAGTAATGATGATGATGATGATGATGATGATGATGATAATAGGATGCTGTAGAGGAGGGTATTTGCAGTTTGTGACTCATCAAGTCAAAAATCTATTCAACAGTCATGAGCCTGAAGTGCATTTGTGCAATCCCAAGCGTGTGGCAAAAAGAGAATTTGCTGGGCTCAACAGGCTGCCTCACACAGCTGGTGGCCTGCATTTGGCTCACTGGGCCACAAATTGCACATTTGACTTGGGGGGGGGGTGTTACAAGATCTGCTTGGGATATGGTACAAAAAGGTATTAAATCAGCACCTTTTATAACTTACTTCTCAAAGCTATTAAATACACTTCTTCAAACTGAAGATATGTCTTTCCCCAGAACACCACAAGCCCATTGCGGACTGTTTCCTATGCCAACGACTTATGCCAAAATGAAGTGGTTTGTCTCTAAGGCTGCAATCAAACTCCTGATCTGCCATGTTGGGATG